CTAGCCCAGCGGCTGCCTGGGTTTTCATACACCCACCCAAGTTCAACAAGTTTCTCGTTAAACTCGTGCAAGAACGCACGTACCGCTGGTGGGTAAGGCCGCGGCTTGCTCTTGACAGCACGTGCTCCATCCTTGAGTCGGATCCGTAATGCCTCGACATTGGCAGGAGGATCGTTGCCTAGCTCTAGACGCCATATGTCGTGTTTGAACACAATAGCCCGGAGCTGCTGCTCGAGGTGGCTCGGGAATCCCTGATCGAGTGCTGAGGAAATTATCCGTTCAAGAGCATCTTGAAGGTCTTTGTCGGTTGAGCTCAGCGAGATGGACGGTAGGTCGTCTTGTAGATCTTCTTCACCTTCGTCTTCACCTTCATCTCGTCCTGCGAGTTGCTCTAAGTGTTAGTCGATGTCGATCCCCAGCGACTTGAGAACATCCTGACCGAGGATGAACTCGGGTTCGTCACATTCGATTATCAGACAATCAACAGGTTCCTGCAAGCCGACTGGTCCGGCAGCAGTGTTGAGTCGCAGCCGAAGTCGCACGAAGTGCGTGGAAATGACCTCATGGTCGCCTACAGCCACATGCACTGTTGGAGTATCGAGTGGAGTCACCTTAGTAGATGTGTCGCTACGAAGTAGTTGGGTCACGTGTTGCTTGCTTATGGCGGTCCTGTCCGCACCAGTGTCCGCACAGTACGGCACAGCAAGCTCTTCGTTCAAAAGAACAGTCTTCTCTTGAGATGGGATACACTCACGAAGTCGCTTCATTCTTGCTACCACACGTTTATTTCCGTCGTTAGTTCTTTGTTCACGGAGCTTACGACGGATTTCGGCTTTCTGATCATCAGAGGCCGTTGGGCACTCTGACAACCAGTGCATCTCATCACAATGTGGACAAGGAGTGGGTGGCACTTTAGCTCGTTCCGAAGATGTCTTCTTCGTAGGTGGTTTGGAGCTCGAAGTGCTCCGCTCAGTGGTTAGGCGGGGTTTCTTGGTAGAAGATTTACTCGGTCCGCGCTTTGATGCACGTCCCGAATCACCATCACTCCGATCGCGCTTGGCGCGTCGTTGGTTCTGGTAGTTTTTTTCTTGGTCGAGCGCCTTTTCCAACACTAGGTCATGAAGGATAACCTCGTCGGACTTTGCAGCTCGAGCCTGGAAACGTACTGTACGTTCCACTTCTTCTCGCAGAGCCCGAGGCTCTAATGAGGCAATGAGGACACGGCACAGCTGCTGTTTAC